TGTTACACTGATTTCAGGTGAGAGTCCTTGTTCATCAGTAGTAACTAAAAGAAGCCAAGGAGAAGTAATGAGATAACAGAGAAAAGAAAACAAAAAAAATAAAAAAAAATAAAAAAGAAAACGAAAAAAATGAGAGAAAAATGTGAAAATATAAATGCAAGGCATTGTGAGAGAAGAAACCTTTCCAAAGCATAAAAATTGACAAGTTTGCAAGGACATTTTTTCACTTAAGTCTTGAAAATTCTCTTGAATTTTAGACACTGTAATATGAACAATTAAAAAGAAAAGTTTTCTGAGCAGAGTTGGTGGGGGATAAAATTTTAAAGAAGCTTAAACATCTAGTCATGGCTTATTTAATAATATGTCTGCATGAATTATTTTTTCAGGGAGTAGAGAGTTTTCTGAGGTGCTCTGGGGCCTTATTTTCTCATGTTTCTATTTTTTTCCTTTCAGTGAATTTTCTGATTATTATGTCATGAAATTTTGTTTTATTTTTTCATAGAAATAAGAGTGCTTTTTATATTTTCCTTATTAATATCTACTTGTATTACATTAAAATAAATTTAAAAAGCACAGTCCTCATTCCAAGGTGTGGGGCAGCAAATAAGTCTGTTTATTTAAAAAGTATTTCTACAGTTTACAGATCTTGCACTGGTATTTCTGGCAATATTTACCCTTAGAAATCATTCTGACAGTACATTTAAGCTTTCCAGATGTTTTACCTGTCACGTTACCAAGGCAACAAGGCCATGTCTAAACTGTAAAATGTGGTAGCAATGATAGGTGGCAATTATTCTCCAGGATGACTCAGAAGTAGCGCTAACAGAAATATCCAAATGAAACAGTGCTGGGTGGACAGTGGTAGCAAGCTCAGCTGCACTTCTTACATGTGCTGTGTTTATGTTCCAGGTAGTTAGAGACGACCTCTGGGCAGCTCTGGGAGTAAAGAATACCACACTCACCCAGGAAGGATGAACAGAAATCATTTCTGAAGGAAGCGCTTCGTGGGAGTAGGAAATATACATAGTGTGGGGAAGAGAAGAAATTTCATACTGAGGTCATCATACAGAAAAAGGTATTTTAAAAATATACACATCAATTCTTTCTGTAAACCTTTCGTCAACATATACAGTGTAGTTGACACATAAAGTTGTAAGATGTACTCTAAGTTTATGTCAATGGGGCTTTCCTTCAGAAACTTCTGGGACAAACATATTATTACTGATCAATGAATTATTAACTATAACTCCTAGGGGTGAAAGGAAATAGAATCATGATTTCTTTTTTTCCTAACTAATCTTTACTTCATTTGCACTGATTACTAGAACTTTTTGACCTAATAAGACTTTCTAGTCATACATAAGAAACATATTCATACATACACACACATAAACACACCATCACAGATATACGAAAAGAAAAATTCAGGCCTTCCAGTGATATGACACTTTAAGACAATCAGTTATAATAATCAGACTTTGTGAAAGTTATTGAAAAACCCACTTCTTGGTCCCACACAAATGGTCATTGTTTCATAGTCATTTTCATTGTTAACTGAATTCCACTTTATTTAAACCCTGTGTACAGAGTAAGGAAATGAACAGCTTTTCCCTAGGTACCTCTCCATCGTATGTCAACACAGAAGAAAAATTACTTTCCAGAAAAGCACCTATAGCTTCACTGTAATGTCAAGTTTTACTATTATAATTTAGAATGGGCCAATTTTCTCCTTTGTTTGCTTTCTTTTGGTAATATAGCACAGCTACATGAAAATGAAACATGACTTCTTTTTGACTGAATCAGTTGTTATCTCACTAACCTAGGCCTGTCTCAAAACTTGTTATGTGTTGTATGATTCCATAAATCACGTATTGTTTTTCAAACTTGAACCCAAATATTGGTTATATTTCTATTTAAATCATATTGTCTATTGGTTGCTTTCTTACTATCGTTTCTTTTCCTTTTCTTTTTTTTTTTTTTTTTGGTGATCAGGATAGGTAAAGTATTTTTATTATAAATTTCAGGATCTAAAAAGTAATTTGTTACACTGACTAAGATAAATCTGAGATGACTTCTTATCCAGCTTGTGGGCCCTGCAGTCACTGTGGCCTGCAGGAATGGAAGGACACAGTTCCACCCCTCATGGAGGGATGCCCACTGTCTTTTCAAATGGTCAACAAGGATTAATCAAAATTGTAGAATCTTAGCTGGGTGTGATGGTGCATGCCTATAATCCCAGTACTCAAGAAACTGAGGCAGGAGAATTGCTTTGAGTTCAAGGCCAGCCTGAAACTACATAATGAGACCTTGTGTCCAAAAAAAAAGCTGTAGAGTCTTTAATAGTATCTTTGAGAATTTGTGAATTCCCACAGTACATTTTTATGTACACACTTGCTACTACATTGAAACATTTTGAAGACAAGGATAAATGTGATTTCATTTCAGGGTTCCTCAAATGAGAGGCTACAGTATACCCTTTCCATCAGTTTTATAATCTAAAATTGATTACCATTGAAAAGTTAAAAACACATAATTTTTTAAGATAAAATAATTCCTTGGTTTGGTACTCTGTATTTATTCTCAGTCACACAGAATGTATCACATGAGAAAAGATTTGTATTTTATGTAGATAAATAAATACAGTGCCTAAAGAGGACATTTATTTCTTTTACACATTTGTGAAGGTTACAGATGAACACATGGTTCAATATTGTACTGTTTCTTACATCAGAATCCCCTGCTGATGTGTGGCAGAACCACATAGTTTTGTTAAGAACAAGAGTAAGGAAACACAGCTTCTCTTGCTGAAATAAAACCTCATCAGTGCTGGAAGCGAGTGACACATGAACAGAAGGAATATAACAGAGGATGCAAAATCAAAGTTTTAAATCAAAAATTGAAACATAATGTTCCATAACCTGAAATAACGAAGTAAAGGAATAGGCAAAAGATTTTCTGCAGTTTTCCCAAGTCCAAAATATACGGTAGAGCATGTGGGACAGGAACTGGAAACAGAACCAAAACCACTGCTATGTATTTGGTTCTCAAAGATCCAGGTAGGCAATAGCAATGTCAAAAACACCTGCATATCCCGGCTGTGCCCAGTGAGAAACACTGCCACATGTACACACAGGTGGCTGGCTAGAAGGGCTTCCTTGGCTCAGACAAAGCAAGGTGATGTTCATCTGGGGCTTTTTATTTCTGCTCGAATCCTACATATATCCTAAAAGGAGGTAAGTCAGTGATTGACTGAGTTACCTACAAAGAGAAAGCAGAGTAGATTTCACCAGAGTAATTTTCTTCTCTAGGCTTCTGAAGCCACCGTGCTAGTATGATTTCCCTACAGCAAGAAAGCCCAGTCAAAGGTGGAAAAGTTGTTTGTGCTTCTCCCCCTCTAAATGACTTGCAAATTTATTCAAACACAATACGAGGGGATGCTTTATTTGTTGAAATAACTGTCTGCAGTGTCCTGGGCTAAAGGGTGAGGTACATCAAGCAGAAACATGGGCAGAAATACATTGGTTTAGAAACTCATAAATCCTTATTTGAATCTGCCAACCTGAAAGCTATGTAGACCCTGAATAAACTATTTTTCCTAAATGCTACATCTGATTAAGCCATACCATTAACTGACAGCTGAACTTTAACATTAATATGATATTATTGAAATAACCACATGATTTTTTTTACACTAAAAATGATGAATGATTTCTGGACAGCTCAATTGACATAAAGCAGAAGGACTCTTTAATGAGATTTGGCAAAATGGAGACATATGCAGAATATTCGTTACAGCTCACATCACTGGGGCCCTCCCTTGGAAGCTATAGAGGTTTTTCCTCTTTCTTTTTTTTATTGTCTTTAGGCACTGAAGCATTCCTTTCAATCGCCAGTTTCTTCTCTGTGCATCCTGAGTTTTTATGAGGCGATTTACATATTACTCTTAATCAGAGAATTTGGTGGTTTATAGTCCTGAGTTGGGACAACGTGTGCAGGAAAAGGAGGGGTGGTAGAGACACTTGGCTGGCAGTATCCCAGGAACTTCAGGCTCACTACCGATCAGGCTGATAGAGGAATTACATCAGCCTTGAAGAAGGAATAATTATACATTTAATTGGTTCTTAGGCAATAAATCATAGTTTTAGCAAATTCCTATATATGGGTAGAGGATCAGAGAAGGCTTTTGTTATTTTTAAATAGTTACCTCTATAGTATCAACTACAAAGATTTTCTTTTTGGAAATTCGATTAAGCTCTTCAGAGGTCTTTCTCAGATTGCCCACTCACTTCTCCACACACGATTCCAAACTGGCATCATCATGCTGGATGACAAATAATACTCTTATTTAGTGGATTCTGAGTGTAAAATAATTCTGCGCTGAATATACTAACACAGAATATTACCTACCTTCCCTCATTTATCTTTTTATATTCTCCCAAGTATTTTCCATCAAAGTTTAGTTACATATGTAGAACACAAAGGTTTGTTTGCTGGTACATATGAATTTAGATCATTCAGATAATCTTGACATTTTGTAAATCATCTTAACTATCGACTTTAAATGAAAATGTTTCCCTGAACAATGTCCCTTTGAGAAATGAAAACGAGGCAACAGAGAGCAAAGCTGATACCAAGTATGCTCATGACGTCGGCAGGCCTGTGCTCCCTCTAGCCAAACAGAAAATAAAGTCAGTCTGCTTCTGCCATGGGGCCTTCCTCAGGCTATGAAAAAATACTTCATGTCTAACCCTAATTTTTCCATAGCTTGAGGTAACCCTCCTAGCTCAAGCCTTGTCTCTAATCTGAGTTACTCAGTGTATGTCACCATCCAAGCAAGAGTTAAAATCAGTGCTGTGTTATTTCAAAAGGGTCTTGACATAGGGCACAAAAAGCAGCAGCTCATCAGCCTGTAAAAATTGCCACTGCTACTGGATGGGGAAAAGTTAAAAAAAAAAGACAGAAAAGAGAGAGAGGAAGACTGGTTCCTACCTTGCTCTTACCTTCGCAACATCCCTGTCAGAACTCTGGAGCTTTTCCCCAAGTTTGCATCTGTTTCCCGAAGCTAGGAGAAGAAAAGTGTGGTTAAAACAAAACAAAAATAAATTTCATGCAATTAGATTATTTCTAAAGCACATGGAGAGCAATGACTTTATATCATGAGAGAAAATCCAAACAATACAAAATGCTTATATGCACAAACACAAATGCATTTATGACACTTCATAAATTGAAAATTTTAGATTCAGAGAATGACATGCGGGAGGTAATCCAAGGAGCTTTAAAATGGATACTTGAACTGGATATAAAAGCAAATGTCTCGCAAGCTGACAAAAGTTCAATATATGCCTGGTAATTGATCTCTAATGTAGAAATATGCAAAGTGCTAAAAATAAAAACAGAAATGAAATGAAGCAAGGAAGGATGAGACATCAGTAATTTTGAATCCTTGCTCTCCAAGGCTGGCACACTCCAAAATCTCCCTCAAGAACTTTCTTCTCGGCCATAGAACTAATGGAACATCTACCCATGGGCATTTGAGATGGGCACAGACAGCTTCTGTTCCAGTCACTGCCTACCCTCTGGCTCTTCATAATCTTTGCATCCTTGTTCACCCCAGCCATGTTTATACACACGTACTTGTATCTCTCGTATGTCACTGTTATCATCTGTATGTTCCAAAGACCTTCTATGTCTGCTCTTTTACTGACCGTGTGAAAGACTGTGTCACTTCTACTTACTCTTTCACGTGCTCGCTGTATCTTTTCTCTGTCATGACTGAGGTTTTCCAACATTTCTTGGCCAATTTGTTCTATGGAAAAAAAAAAATCTGTGAGAAAAAAAATTGGGGGTACATGCAAGAACAATATTCAGAAGTACCACAATGACAACTGACAATTAGTGTAGAACTGAGGTTAAAATAGTGTACATTTCCATCAGGCATATATTTTAATTCCTGTATTTGAAAAACACAAACAATATATTGAACATAACCAGCACAGCAGTAATGATCTGGCAGTGATGTGATGTGCCCAGGACTACTCCAGCAAATTGCCAGCATAATGGTCCATTTCTTCGTCACTGTGGAATTTAGGCTTTCGTGTTCCAGGGTTAGTGTGACATTAATGTTTCTGCATCTTTCTCCCTTCATTATGACAGTGACTTACTCATGGTAGTCCATACTGATTTACAATACTTTTACGTGTCTGTATGTAACTAGCAACTGAATCCAGGCTTTCTTCACTCAGCACTAGCCCCAACCGTGTTTTAATTTTAAAATTTGAGACAGGGTCTTGCTAAGTTGCCCAGGTTGGGCTCAAACTTTTGATCATCCTCTCTCAGCTTCTCAGATGCTGGGAGTACAGGTATTCCCAACTACACTCTGTTTTGATTCAGAATAACTGTGATTTTACCATAGTTACCCTGCATAGAGACTCCTCATATTCTTGCCTACTGCAGCCTATTGGAAAAGGAACTATGTCTAGGCTTCCACTGTGTCATTTAGCTGCTGCAGATTCTTGAGTTAAGTCATTGGGTGCATTCCTTAACAAGTAGTTGAATAACACTTAAGCTGACACTGGGTTTTCATCCTAGAACTGCCAAATATTTATACTGATATAGAAGGTTAGCATACTCATGAAAAAGCCACACTGCTGAATTCCAATGAAGTCTTCCTCTGCCATGATCATCTCATCTAGACAGCATTGGGCAGTCTCTCCTTTGACTGCAGACCCTTGTAAAAGGCAGTTGGTTCATCTGAACCTGAATAAATATCCAGAAACCCTGCATACATATTTTTCAGATTCATTCTTCACTACCTAGGAGGTGCCTCACTCTACAAAAGAAGGCCGTCTACTTGCCTTTCTTATGATCTTGGCAGCTTGTCTGACTAACCCATTGTCCACCTCTCTCATTCTCTGTCTTCCTTCCTTTTGTGTGTGTCTCTTTACCCACACCTATAAAACAATCACCTCTGGCTTATAGATTTACAACAACATTCAATGGGTGCCTATTATAATAACAGCAAGTAATTTAATGAAGTCATTAAGAAGTCACCACATAGGTAATTTCACTCATGTACTGACCCAGACAACTTCTGGAGCAGTGATTAGGCCAACAGAGTCTTCTGACTATAAACTCACACTGCCTGTGCCTACATCTTAGTGCTGACGCTTACAAATGTGTGGCTTCATGTTAACTTAGCTGTCTTTGTTGTTCCTCAGTTTCTGAATTTCTAAAATGGAAATATTATTGATGATACTAGCATATCACAGAGATGTTATAAAGGCTCATTAAAATATGGGACTGGTCTGCAACAATTATAATAAGAATTTATTGACTGAGGTGGTTGATATGAAAAAAAAATCAATGGACTATAACACTTTGAGAGCTGCTCCTATCCTAGCGGTGTCTTAAACTACAAATACAACATCCATTCGGACTTTCTAAAAAAACTGATGTAATAATTAAATGAACTAACCTAAGTATAAATGTGAAAGCTGTAGGATACCACACAAACACAGGACACTGTAAGATCTGAAGCATTCAACAAATAATCACCGAGTCCCTGTTCTGAACCAGTGATGCAGAGTGTACACATACGGGCTTCCATGCAAGTAGTGAAGTTTTAGCAGAGATAAATACTTCAGCAGAGTTTATATTATATGGCACATCAGAAAAATGACTGCATATTACTTGCATAATAGAAAAATCCAACTAATAAAAAAAGGTTACATACAATATTATAAATATACTTTTGACACCATACAAACTTTGACAATTCTTCCCTGGCACATTACATTCCTGGAAAAGTAACTTGCCTTAGATTTATTTTAGTTCTTTATTACTAACTTCATATAATACATCTGTAAGGTAAACTAGTATAAGATACGTAGCTCCCCATGGTGGCATCATAAAAACAGAAGGTGAACAAGAATGAAACTTCTAGAGTTGAATTTTTGTCTTTTTTTGGACATAAAAACAACAGTATTCAATTTTGTCATACTATTTTTGCTATACTGCATTTCTTTAATCAATATAATATACTAATTTAAATTCATTTCAACTCAAAATCTGTAATACCTGTGAGCATCATTAATCCTATCATTATTTCAGCAAAGTACTACTGACAAAACACTTTATCAAGGTTGGTGGTATTATATGATTTCAAATAGATAGAAAATAGGCTACGACTATTGCATCTATAATCAGCACAGTATCCCAAGAGAGGATGCAGGGGAAGAATGAAGAAATGGAAAAATGAAATAGAGTGGAGAATGAAGTACTGAAAGGCAACCTATTCCTACTGTCAAAGTCTATCAAGTATGGCAGTGGAGAAGGCAACATTGGAAGTCAGATCCCCAATCTGGTCAGGTTTGGCAGAGGAAAAACAGTATTCTGGATGTATCTTTAGTTTGCTACTGAAGGGATCAATGGAATGAGAGAAAGAGACAGGGCTTTTTAAGGAGCCATAAGCAACTCCCACAGTCTCTTCCCTCCACGGGAAAGAGCTCAGCATCTCACGTATTAACCCATCCGGCAAGAGAAGGAATATTGGCAAGAATATACACATCCTGGACTTCAACCCCTTTCCCTTCCCTCCTTCTCCCTCCATCTCCTCATTCCCTTCTTTTTGTTTTTATGTACATGTTTGCAGTACATAACATTTACATTCCTTGTGTGGAGTTGGTATGTGTACATAACAAATCTTAATTCTGTGTTTCATCTTCTTTGCCTCCCCTCTCTCTATTTCTTGATCCCTTTCCTCCTTTGAGAAAGATCTATCTTCCTACTTCTATTGTCTATCTTTTACACTTTGGGTGGGAATATAAACTAGTGCAACCACTATGGAAATCAGTGTGGAGATTCCTCAAAAACTGAAACTGGAAATTCCATTTGACCCAGCCACTACATTTTCAGGTATCTTTCCCAAAGAGTTAAAGACACCATGTAACAGTGATGTATGCATACCCATGTTTATAATAGAACAATTTATAAGAGCTAAATCTTGGAAGCAGCCTAAATGTCATCAAGAGATGAATGGATAAAGAAAATACATTATTTACACACAGTGGAGTATGACTGCTACAAAAAAGGATAAATTTGAGTCATTTGTAGGAAAATAGATGAATCTTGAGATCATAATGCTAAGTCAAATAATGCAGACACAGAAGCTTAAATATCACATGGTTTTTCTTATATGAGAAATGCAAAGTACAAATAAAGATGATTTTCAGCTCTTTTAACTTAGGGGTTTTGATGGGGATATCTGAATCTATAGAAGGAAGAATATAAGAAACCATAAAATTTATAAATACTGTATTTATATTTCTTGAGATTAAAAAATAATGGAAAGAAAAAAAGGAAAGAAAAACTGATTTTTGTAAGCTGGAATTCCACATGTCAGCATGAGATGATAGATGGATTTCTGGAAGGAAGAGGTCCTTTCTTCTCTTTTATCCTTTCTACAAAAGTCCTGGGAATCACCCTGGGATTACAGCTCTCAAACAATGAATTGTTGTTTCTTCAATTACCCAGAATCTGGCATCTTTGGTCCATCATATTTAACTTTGTCTCTACAAACTTTGGTAAGGATGTGCTTCTCAACACATTCTTTTAAAAATGAAGACAGCCAGTTGGGTCTTCTTTAAATTACTAAGAGAAGTAAGTTTATTTCCTGGCATCCAAACACTTCAGAAGCAATTTTAGGAGAGGGGAAAGGCATTTACAATCAGCAAGGCATTGTTAGCCAATGAGGACTCCTGTGAAGTCTCGGAACACATAGGAATAGAAAGGATCTATTCTGAAGCACGTGTTTCTATATGTGCATTGCAAAATGCCAGCCAGCCAGGTGACAGACATATTTCCTAACAGTATCAAGTGCTGAATTTTGGACATGGCTTGGGCACTTCTGGTCACTGTATGCAGTCAAGGGGGGAAAATCTTGCTGCTTCAGAAAGCACAGGGAGTTACATCTTTTCCAGGAGGTCTCTGCTTGTAGAGTGGCTGCATCAGTCATTCTCACTTTGCACATGTCCTTGGGCACTGATTCTGGTATCTTTCCTCAAGCAGACAGATAATCCTTAGTATTGGCGTCACTCAGGCATAATGATTCTTTTGGGTCTGGGGAGTCTTTAGGGTTTCGTGGTCCAATGGAAAAGACAATTCTTCCACCAATTTCCATTATTTGAAGCTTGAGACATGTGAGGAACTTCTGCTTCCAGTTAGAAACCAGCATATTACATTTCACATTCTACTACTCTTTATAGAGTCTAGACTATTATGAAATTATGAGGCACAAAAAAGCAAGGAAAAAATAATAATAAAAAACCCACCTGTATTAGCAGTTCCAAGTTAGTAGCATTATTAGATAAACCTTTTAGAATAACTATTACAACTGTTAAAGAATCTACAGGAAAAAGTAAAGATAATGGGTAAAGAGATGGGATGTTCAAGATTGAATATTAAACCCTAAAATCAACTGAAATTCTAGAATGAAAAAATACAACATCTTTAATTAACTAGATGGCCCAAATATCCTTTACTATAGGAGAAAATATCATTCAAGATGAAAACAGGCTAACAGAAATTCTTCAAACCTGAGAGGAAGAAGTTAAAAAATGGTATCAATAATCTGCTGGAAGATGAGAAGTGGGCTTTTCCTCATATAATTACACTCTTAGAAAAAGAGATTATTAGAGAAAAGAATGGGATGAAGTAAATCTCTGAAGGACTAAGAGGCAAAACATACCAGATTAGATTTACAGAAAAATCAAACACAGACCAAAGAAGCTTATCAAGCTCAGAACAAGA